CCTCCCTCCCTCCTCCGTCCCTCCCTCCCCGCTCTTTCTATCTGTTGGAGAGAAAAATCAATTCTCCTCAAACCTTTTACTGCCTCCAAGATCAATCTCCCCCCTCTTTCCCCAATACAGATAAAAAGGGGGTCACTGTCTCAGTGCTTCGTTCGCGGAGCGCTGCAGCTCCCCTGGCTGGTTTTGGGGATGCTGGATGCGTGCCAGTCTCTGGATGTTGGTGCCAGGGTGGCACAGCCTGGAGTTGGCTCTTCCCAAATTCCTCAGCTCTCAGTCAGCCCATCCCCAGCTGGGGGTGGGAAGCTGTGGGCACGGGGCAATTTGGGGATGAGAGCTGCTGCAGGGTGACATTGTCTGGAGGGGGTGCGGGGAGAGGGTGCCTGCATGTACGTGAAGCCTGGCTTGCCTGGCAGCACCAAATTGGTCAGCTCCAGCAAATTTTGGGATGCCCTTTCCATTGCTCAACTCATCTGCTGCCAGCACTGCCTGTACCCACCCTCAGTGCCACTGACCTTGGCAGCGCCCGTGATGCGAGGGATGCGGGATCAGGGCATCGTGGAGACAGAGAGGCAGCAGTTTGCTCCCAGCCTGGTGTGTGATTTAGGCTCGTTTTAGCTTGTGCGTGTGCCCACGGCCGCCTCCTGCTATTCAAAACATCCTCCTGCAAAGCCACAAGCTCCAAGTCCCATCACTGCCCTCACTGGGGATCGCTGGTGGCAGAGCTTCCTGGGGTAGAGGTAGCAAGCTGGGGTGCACTACAGTCCTGGGGACCCCACAGCCCTTGTGCGGAGAACAGGGAGGAGAAATGAGCCATCAGTGGGCTTATTCCCACAAAAAGGCTCTAGGCTTGGAAGCTTTGCGGGCTGTGTGCTAATTACCATGCCCAATTGTGCTTATGGCACTAGGGGCTGATGCTGGGTGAGAGGTTGATGGTGGTGAGATGGGACAGTCTCGGTCCCGGCTGGCTTTTCAGTGCCACGGGGACATCTTTGGTGCTTGGCACAGCCCTTTTGAGGTGAAAACAGGTAGCGAGCTGTCTCTGGGGACAGCAGCTGCAGGGATGGGGAGAAAGATGTCCTGCCCCCATCCTCCCCCTTCCCTGGGGATGGATGGGCTTTGGGGCTCGGGTTCCCAGGGCAGAGGCAGGGAGGGAAGGTGACAGGTCTATTTATAGGCGGCCCATCGACCCGGCGATTTGCATAGCTCCTTCGGAAGTCGATCGATGCCTCCATTAAAAAACTGAGACCAAATCAATACGCCCTCTCGACTTATGCAAAGGTGAAAGGCATTAAAAGGATGGCCGTACCCTTCATGCCTCCCCTGCCAGCTGCAAAGTCACTGCTCCTCCTGCAGCCCTGGCCCGAAGGAGAGACACGCAGCGGTGTCCCCTGGGCTGGGGACAGCTGGCAGCACGCTGTGCACTTCCAAAGGGTGCTGGCCTGCTTCCTGCTTGCGGGCTCGCCTGGACCTGCCTCGGTGGGCAGGGCAGCTGGCTTGTTCTCTGCCAGGGAGTGCATGCCCTGCCCACTGCCCTGCCTCCCTCCTGGGATGTCTCTGTGGCATCT